ATATACTTTCATACTGTCGTTAATTATAAAGTATTATATAAAAGGTAATATATCTCCAAATTAGAAGGACAAAAATAAATTAAAAAATTAGAATCAAACTTAAAAATTTTAAACGAATCAAAAATATATTTTATTTTTTTAATAAATATAATATATGAAAAAATTAACAATAAAAATAATAAGACATTATAATCATATCACTTTATATTTAAATATATATTAAATATGATAATAATATTTAGAGAACATAATATAAGAAAATAATATGAGACATCCCAACAAATAATTATGTCACCATGGATCTTATTATTTAATAGTGCTCCAACACTTTAAGCAAATGAGTGATGAAAAAATGGGATCCTCCATCATAAATGAGGATTCTTGATTCTCCAAACCATGAAAAAATATTCTTCTTGAAAGAAAAATCAAAATACTTTATATATAATTAAAAATATTTTTAAAATGAATATATTGTAAGTATAAGTATATTACTATTTGTTTCTATCTTATTATTAAATATATATCTATTTAATTATCTATTTAAAATTCATAATAAATTTTATTCGCGTGTACTTTTGTCATTCTTAATAGCTGGTCATGTTAAATATGTAGTTAATATTGAGGTTGAAGGTTGATTTGATTGTTAAATAAACAAGATAAGAAAAATTGAATTAATTAGATTAAATTTTTTTAAAAACAATCACTAAAAATACTCTAATTAAAAAATAATTTTAAAAACACTTTTACATAATATAATCATTTATATTTATATTTAATATATAGTGATTGATTTTTAAAATTGTCTATTGCAACAATATTATTGATTGTGGTGTTAGACAAAATCACATGACCCGTAACATTCTTGCCAAAAGTCAATAACTTGATTCCTAACTTGTATCAATGCCAAAAAAAAGAAAAACAATAAATTGATTCCTACCTTGAATCAATGCTAAAAAAACAATAAATTTATTGTTAACACGATTAAAGTGTTTTTTTTTATAATAAAAATGTATAATGCATTTTCAATAGATTGAGTTTTATTTTATAAGTATATAATAAGGTATTTTTTTTTTATTATGACTTCATATTTAAATTAGAATCTGAATTTTTAATTAAGAAACATAAGTAACAAATCATTTATACAAATAACTTTTAGTATGGAAGAAATAGTTAGTATGGAGTACAATGAACCTATGAAGAATCCACATCATCGTTGTCGGTCAAACCCCATGGTCCTCTCCCCTCTTTCTCCATTTCTTTTCTTCTTTTTACTTTTTGGTGGCCTGAATAAAGAGAAAAGACAACAAGCACGATGAAAGGCTTAAATTATTGCCGCCGCCATACCATCCTTCAAGGGAAGGGATAGGACTTAGGCCTTCATTTTATTATTAGTTTATTACGTTGATATCAAGTATTTATTGATTTTTTGTCGAGGAAAAAGTAAGATGTCTGGCACATTTTGGAAGGGATCGGAGGAAAGGGCAAAAGATAGTGAGAAAGATTGTTATAAAAGAAAAAGATAGAGAAAAAAAAATGAAAAAGTTGATAAAGAAGATAATAGACATATGTGCTGAAAAATATAGGGGAAATAATTAAAAATTAAGATAAAATAAATTATAAGAAAATTAAATGAAAAATGTTTTATTATTATCATTATGGATATGATTAATATATGTTAGAAAATATAAATTTATCTATTCTATTAAAATGAGTTGGAATTTAGAAGTTAACTTGACTCACACGAGTTTGAGTCCAAATAAATTATAAAGATTTGGTTTCTTTTTATTAAAAGAAAAATGACCATCACACTCGGATTAGAGGTGTTGGTTAACAAATTGATCACTTAATGTATTTTTTTTTTCAAAATGATTATTAATTTATGTAATTATATATTTATATCATTTATTAAAATTTATACACAATAATTATAAATTCTAATAATTAATGCTAATTTGATATTATTTATTATTATTTCTATTTCTATTTATATGATCCAACTTAAAATGATTGTTTGAATATCCTTTATATAAAATTGAATTCATAATATCTCATCTATTAATTATTTTTAGATTAAAATATTTTTAATTAAAGTGTGTTCTCTTAATTTAGTAAAATGACTTAATTATAAACTCTTTAAAGAGCAACACTTTAATTGGTTGTAAAAAAAAAGTATTAATTAAGAGAGAAATAACATAAGAAACACACTCGAATTAATTGGTTAGATGATGTATGAATATTAATTAAAAAAAAAAGTAGTATAAGGGTAATTTTGTAAAGAAATATATAAATAGGACAAATATTGTTATCAATTTAATTAATTTTTTTTTTAATTTTAATGAATTTGGTAATTTAGTTTTATATTTAGGAACAAAGGTTGTAATATTTTAGGTCACTCCTTTAATATTATTTATATTATAAATTGATTATGATTGATGTTTATTTTTGACAATTTTTTTATCTTATTATTAACATAATTGTAAATTTAAAATATAAGATTATAAAATATGCCTTTTAATAAGTTCAATAAATTTTATTTTTCTTTTTAATTTGAATGAGTCAACATGTGGTGCGTTCCATTGGATTGTGTACTTTGATAGCTATATTTATCCAATTATGTTTTTTCTTCCTATTTACAATGTTCTAGCTTGAGACTAGCTTCATTTAGAAAATCTAAGTACAAAATAAAAACATGTTGATTCTTGTATAATTAATTTATTAAAAGAAAAAATATTAAACATTGACAATTTTATAAAAAATTATTATTTTGAACAATATTACAAATTTATAATAATATTATTTAAGACTTTTTCCATTAAAATTTTATCTTATTTCATTGATCTCAATAATAATAAAATTTCATCTTTTCCTCAATTTATAATTGTCTAATGATTACATTTTTATTTTATATTACTTGCCCATTTTCACTATGTCATCGACATATCTGAATTATTTATTTTATTTTCAATAAACAGTTTTATATGTATTTTTTAACTGAGTTCCAAATAGTATTTTTTTCTCAATTAACGATCTCCATTTTTTCTTTTCTAATTTATCTTAATTTTAAAACAAGTGGCAATATTAATAATTAAAAATAAACATTTTGTAATCAAATGACCCATGTATGAACCATTGAGCCTGACCTAGTGATAGAGACTTTGGGTAGTTAGGCCTCGTAGGAAAGTCCAATCAACCTTAAAAGTAAGTAATTAAATTAACCAAATCTTTTCCAAACTAAGTAACCAAATTAATAACCTTAGGAAAACTCGATCAACCCCAATAGCTAATTTGTTGGGGGTATAAACGAGGTCCTATATCGATAAAATAAGTAGAAAAATAATAACTTATAAAATACATTTATACTTCAATGATTAAGAGACATTTTGGGTGACAATCAAAAATAAAATCAAGAAGGTGTAGGCCCAAAATAGACAATATCTCATCATTTTGAAGTTGTGTGTGAAATAATCTTATAAAAATAACAAAGTCATAATCCTTATAAAATATATCTTCAAACAAATATAATGTAATGTGACAAAGACAAAAGTGCACTCATATTTTAATGGTTGAGAGACTTTTTGGATAATAACTAGCAAAAATAAAATTATGAGAATTTAGGCTCAAAGTGGACAATATCTCATCATTATAAAGTTGTGTGTGAAATAACCTTATAAAAATAATAAAGTCATAACTCTTATAAAATATCCTTTCAGATAAATATCATAAAATAACCACTCAATTAGCAACATATAAAACTCCAAAACAACCCTACTCACTAGCATATTAAGTCCAATACAACCATCAAATTCACAAACTTGATTTTTTTTTTGGAACAATAAAATTAATATATAACAAGTACAAGGAATACCCAAACCCAAATACAAAGAGCAAAGTTTTTCAAAATTACAACAAGATTAGAGATATATGATCTATTTAAAGCATACTAAAGCCTAACCTCAATTCACAAACTTATATATGAGCCAAATCAACCCAAAAAAAACCCCAAAATAAGCAACTAACTTAACCCCAAACCAACCCCAAATTAACCACCAAAGGATCAACACTCAATCAACCCCAATAAACAACCTCAATTAGCAACATATAGCCATCGAAAAGCCTTATTTTCGCACATGAATTTTATCAAACATGTAATGTGCATTAACATTAGACAACCAAACCACTACATTTAACCATGTGTAAGAACACAATGTAGATACAAGATTCAATCCTAGCTGAAAGAACTCAATTAACCACAACACATGTATAATATTGTAGAAAAAAACAAACAAATACACACAAAAATCATACTTGAGAACTCGTTGAAAAAAACATTCGCAACACCTTAGAGCATCAACAAAGGTCATCAGAGAAGATGAAGCACTTGGGAGCACTCTCAAAGGAGAGAGGTCACCAGAAAATCGAGTTGGCCAAAAATGGGATCTTGAAGGTTGAAAACGGTGGAGAGCATGAAAAGTTTGTGCTCTTCCTAAGGGTTAGTAAAAGATTTGTCAAATGTTATTTCATCTTACATAAAAAAGTCTTTCTATATCAAGTGAATTAATACTCAATCATAAAAAAAAAATATAGCCAATTACAATTGTTGACTAAATTAACACATTTTATGACAAGTGTTGATTCACCTAAAAAAAATTAGATAATTGATTAAAAATTTCTTGTCATCATTATTATTTTTTTTTGTCAAAACTAATAAATAATTATAAGCAAAAGTAATAATTTTTTAACTGTATTTTTTCTTAAGCTCAAATTCAATATTTTACTTAAAGAAATTGAGTTCAATTTCACTCATATTAATAAGTATGCTGGTAACTAATGAAATGCATGGACTTTAAGCCTAATTTCTGTTTTTGAGAGGGACTCATATTAAGGAAGTAATTTGACCATTCAACATTGGATTAATACAGTACAAGTATATTGTTAGGCTGCTCATATACATGTATATAAATGCGCTACTTGGGGTAAAGCCCCATATATATCTCCACATCTTTCTGAGTTTTCTTCTTCAATCTCAAACCAATATACTACACCTTGTACGTAAACATGAATGACGTACGGAAACTAGTGCAAGACTTGAAGCCTGTACTATTGATGGCATTGGTGCAAGTTGCATATGCTTCGGTGAATGTGCTCTATAAGCTCGCCATCAATGACGGAATGAGCATTAGGGTTGTCACTGCCTACCGCCTAATGTTCGCAGTAGTTTTCACTTTTTCTCTTTCTCTTATTTTCGAAAGGTTCATTCTCACCCCCAATACTTCTTAATTTGGTTATTAATTTTTAGTATGACTCTAATAACTGTACAAGGAGGAACATAATTCTAGGTTCTTTTGAGCCAGGCCAGCTATATGCATATGATGGAAAATGGTGCTTTCTTTCTTCTTTCTTTTTTTTTAACATTTAAAACAGAAAGAGCAGGCCAAAGCTGACATGGAGGGTGCTTTTCTTGTCATTTTTTAGTGGCCTATTTGGGTATGGTTCGTATAAACTTTCTGTTTTCACCCGTTTGAATGTAATTATGCATTGCTAAATTGTATACTAATTAATTAAAGAGACTTTGCATATTCATATATGTTTGTGTAATCATCTAAACAGAGCAAGTTTATTCCATAACCTATTCCTTGAGGCCTTGGATTTGGTGTCAGCAACATTCGCTACTGCTGTTTATAATCTCGTTCCTGCAGTCACTTTTATATTGGCCATCTCCTGCGGGTACGTAATCACCGGTCATCACGATTATATGCTTTTTTATATTTAAATATTGTTGAAATGGAATCAAAGCCCATATATTATCATAACATGACAGTGATATGGACGTGTAAATACACAAATATTTCTATTGCTACAAAAAATTTTAAATAATGACAAAAAAAACACAAATTTATGAAAGATTAAATTTAAAATAAATAATATCATAATAAGCGATATCAAAATCGATGATTAAACCATCGTGAATTATAACATGTTAAAGAAAAATAAAAACAAGAAAAGAAATATGAATTTTTATAAATACATAAACATATTTATTGAAAACTCGATAGACAACAAATATATTATCGATATTAACAGAATTTATAGACCACATATTTCTATAGCTATATATTGTCTATAGATTTGGGTGGATGACATATATACCACATGGCCATCATTGCATGAATTGCAATCAGCGATCCATGATGGGTTTAGTGACTCAACCATTGTTCACTAACTCCAAAAGTTGTTCTCCAAAAGTTGTTATGTGACTTCTAATAGATAAACCTTTCTTTTTCCTTAGTTTGAAGTGGAGGACGCACTATATTTACATCTATACTAATAACCATTAATAACACTAGCCAATAAGATGAACTAAACTCGAATATATACCACACTTGTGGCCATACATATGATCATGGACTATTGGTTAATTTTATAAAACGAATAATACCATGAATTAGTGTTAGACTATACAATATTCTAGAATACTGAACTTGCATGGTTAATTGGATTAATTCTTTTGAATTTTTGTAGCATAGAAAAGTTAAACATGCAAACCGCAGTAGGGAAGGCAAAGGTGTTGGGAACGATAATAGGAATTGGAGGGTCAATGGTGCTGACATTTTTCAAAGGGGTAGAAATTAACGTTACAACCTTCCGCACTGATCTTTTGCATCACAACGAGCAACATGTAGTAACTTTGCATAGTGACTCTGGTCATAAATTTATGGGTGTTTTGTGTGGTTTTGGAAGCTGCTTCAGTTTTGCATTATGGCTAATCATTCAGGTACTCTTATTCCTCCTATTTTATCATTACATGCATATATTTGTGAAATGTGTGGTTTGATTTGTGATTCCTTATGTTATTGATCACTAAATGGGACAGTCTAAGATGAGTAAAGAATATCCATGTCATTACTCAAGTACTGCATTGATGTCCTTAATGGCTGCAATACAAGCCACGGCCTTTGCCCTTTATGTTGAAAAGGATTGGAGCCAGTGGAAGTTGGGTTCGAGTATTAGGATTGTAACTGTGGTTTATACGGTAATTAATATACTAAGTTCATAATATAATTTGATTGGATTTGGATATTGAACTAACCAATTATTAGTTATGAAACGAAAATAATGCAGGGAATTGTGGCCTCAGGATTGGTGGTTATTATCATTGCATGGTGTGTACGGATGAGAGGCCCAATGTTTGTGTCTGTTTTCAACCCTGTGATGCTTGTGCTTGTGGCTGTGGCTGATTCTTTTATGTTAGGTGAAAACTTATATGTAGGAAGGTACGTCAACTCCTTGTTCACTAAATAAAATAGAGACAAAACAATCACACAAGGAATTCATTGTATATTATGTTAGCATATTATTTTTATTAATTTTAAAAGTTTTGTTTAGGCGTAAAAGAGACTAATGATACGATTTTTTTTTTTTTTTTGTATCATGTTATAGTGTAATTGGAGCCGTGCTAATTGTGAGTGGGTTGTACATGGTTCTATGGGGCAAGAGCAAAGAAATGAAAAAGGTAGATCAGTCATCGGTCTCGTCAGAAATCACCCAAGAACATGAAGCAACTGAAGTTGTTGTCATGCCCACGACAATAAATAATGGCAATAGTAACTGCATTAAAAATGCCAACTCCAATTGTGAAAGCAATGCCAAAGTTTCTTGATGTTTAATGAAGAAGTAGACATGAAATACACGTCATTGAAATCACCAGTTAGTCGAAGACATGGCTTTATTAGGGAAAATAATCTCGACTTAAAGCTTTTGTTGTTACTTGTGATAATAGACGGACCACATAATATATGCCATATATATAGTAGAGTATACATGACTTAGTACCTTAGTGGTATGTTATATTATATATATAATAATAGGGGTATATCGTGTAGGCTTTTCAAAGTATTGTACACTTGATTATTTATCATCTTATAATCCTATAACTAAATATAAACTTGTCTGTTGTTGCTGTTAGTTTTTCGATCGGTAAATTCTACGCTTAAAAAACTTGAAAATGAGGTTTGAATTAACCCACCACTCCGTAATATTATACAATCACCCTCAGATAATAGTTAATTTTTTTATATTAAAATATGATAAAATGATTCATAGCATGGATTGAATCACGCTTTCACTCGTCTCTCTTAGTTTTCTACAGATTTAATTGTTTGTAGTCCCCCTTATCCATGGATGTTAATTATTGTCTTGTTATATTTTTCCTTACCTTTATCCACTTCAACGAGAATGATAGTATCGTTCGTATCATCAAATCTTTGACATATTCATCCTACGATAATTATTTTTCGTTACATACCGATATGTTTTTACTCACCTATATCAGTTTCATAATAATTTCATTGTACTATGAATCAGTTTATAGATAGTTTTTTTCGCAATTCCACTCTTAATAAAAGTATCAATTATTATAAGTTAAAGACAAAATAAAAGTTCAATTTATAAGCTAATATATATATATATATATA